ATTTTTAAGGCAATAAGAAAAAGGAATGGGAAATATTTTTGCCGTATCCTAGAAAAAGAGATAAGAATTTTTTAAAATTCAGGAGGAATACTCTCCCTCACGATTAATTTCAGTAGCCTACTTTCCTTTATCATATGTTTCCGAGAAGATTTATCCCAAATCTGCTAGAGAGAGAATTCTCTAACATCTAATACCCATGGGACAAAACGGAAATTAGAATTAGGTAAGTATTATCCATCTAAGAGATATCCTCGCCGGTTTAAATACCATTCTTTATTTCTAGCCTCCCAGATCCCCAGGGTAGACTTATGGATTGGGAATTGGTTTATCTAGGCTTAAAGCAATTGCTTCTGCCTTTAGATATGCAAGTAGAGGGTAAAGGAAGCTATTAGGACCATTATAATACTAATAGCTTAGTAATCAAGCATTTCTTTATATTTTTTAATTGGAAGTGTGGTACTAAAATCTTATTTCAAAGTCCAAAATGGGTTTGTGCGTGAAAACAGTTTTTGAAAAGAATAAATAAGCAGATATCAAGTATTTAGTAACAGATTAATACTGTACTGTTTATGGGTCACTAAAGAGTCTTGGTGGTATATTTTAATTCTGTGATAGCTAATATTCCATTTTTAGGCATTTGATTTTGAACCATATTTACCAGATTTAGCTTTTAAATGTCCCATTTTTTGTTCTTTCTGCTCAATGAGTAGCAAGACAGAAAATCTATAGGACTTTATCTGTTTAACCTCTTTCCTTGTTTCTTTGTCATTTAATTTTATAACCGGCTTTTAAATGTCCCATTTTTTGTTCTTTCTGCTCAATGAGTAGCAAGACAGAAAATCTATAAGACTTTATCTGTTTAACCTCTTTCCTTGTTTCTTTGTCATTTAATTTTATAACCAAAAAAGAAAAAAAAACTGGACAAAATTATTTGACTACAATTAATTACTTGTTGATTCATTATTCTACCTCTCTAATATGCAAGCAGAAGAAATACTGAAGACCCAACAATGATATTTTAATGTAATTAAAGATTATTATGAACAACTATGAAGTATTAAGTTTAAAAACTGAGATGAAATGAATACTGAGAAAAATATAAAAATGCCAAAATTGAGACTTAGAAGCCTTGAAGAAATTTAAATGGTAAAATCTTTCCACCCCACCCTCCCCAAAATCTAAGGCCCATATGATTTTATGGTAAACTCTACCAGAGTTTCAAAATATAATGGATTCATTTCTCATGCAAGTTGTTCCAGAAAACATGGAAAGCTGTCCAGCTCATTTTATGAAGCTAGTGGGATCTTGATTCCAAAAGTAGTTAAGGGAAAGAAAAAGAAAAAAGAAATAGGTTTCATTTTATGTATGACTGTAAATACAAAAATTCTGAATAAATTATTATCAGTGTAGTGTGTGTGTGTGTGTGTGTGTGTGTGTGTGTGTGTGTGTGTGTGTGTGTGTGTAAAACACTTTAAGGTCAGGAAAAAGACAAAGGTGTTTCTCACCACCACTGCTGTTTTACATAGCTCTTAAGGTTGAGAACAATTCTACAAGAAAAAATAAAGAATTCATAGGTATTATTAATAACAGTTGCCAAAAACAAAGTCATCTTATAGAAATCAATAGCATTATTTTACATCATCAATAACCAAGTATAAAATGTAATTCTTAAAATGTTATTGCATCAAGTCTTATGAAGTATCTGAGAATAAACTTAACCAAGAACAGCAAGAACAACATTTTTATGGGAAAATTTTAATTTTTAAGTCTAATAAAGTACATAGAAAATGATCTGTATAAATGAATATTTTGGGACCTTGGACAGAAAAGCCTAATGTCAGTATTCCCAAATTTATTTATAAATTGATTGAAATCCCAATCAAATTATTTTGATATATGTATACACTTATTGTAAAATTTATAGGGAAGAATAAAGGTCCACAAATAGCCTAGTTAATCCTGCAAAAGATGAATAAATTCCACCAGAAGATGAGATATGTAAGAAATAAAGATAATGAAGATAAATTAAGATAACAATAGAAATAAAAAGAATGTAGAAAGCTGGACATACAAACATGTTTAGATAGATACATGATAAATAGGTACATAGAAGAGAGAGCAAAAGAAAAAGGAAGGAAGAAGAGAAGGATTATTGTTTTACCTGTAAATAATGGCAGTTTTATATCTTTGTTTAAAATATATATTCACACCATACATCACTGAGAAAATGAATAGATGGTATCAGAAAATTGACTTACTATATAAGCAAAAATAATACTGGACCCTTGTCTAATACCACATAGAAATGAAAGAGACTCTAGATGGATTAAAGACAACGATGTAAAAGGTAAAACCATAAAAATAAAGTTAATTGATGAAAATATAAAAAGTTATCTTTGTAACTTCAAAACAAAACCCCAAGAGCATAAACATTTAAAAAATGATTTGATTATCCCAAAATTAAAAATGTTTATTCAACAAAGAATATAGATAAAGTTAATAGACATATGACATTTAGGAGAACGCATTTGCAGTGTTTTAAACCAGCAAGGAACTGTAATCTAAAATATGCATGTCTGCAATATAAAGACAGGAACTTCCATTTAAAAGATGGGCAAAGGGTAGGAACAGGAAATTTACAGAAGACAAAACCCAAAAGACCAACAAGCATATTAAAAAGATGTCAAATTCATTAGAATCAGAAGAATACAGATTAAAACAATGTGGTATTACACTGACCAAAATTAGAAGCCTAGATAATACCAAGAGTCAATAGGGATATGAACATCTAAAAACCTCCATGTACTGCTGGAGGAGTGGAGACAGGGCAGTCATGCTGAAGAGCCGCTGGGCTAATGACCCAGTTAGCACATGCACACTCAGTGCGGTGACACACCAGTCCTACCCCAGACAATGAGGCCCAAAGAAATTCTCACAAAGATCCAAAAAGCAAGGCAAAAAAGGGCATTTACCATAGCCTTGTGTCACATGGAGTTAGAGGCAGCTTGGTGCACATTACTGGGGGAGTTCTGTGAAGCCATGAGAAGCAATGGACTAGCTGTGCAGATGGTGGCATAGGTAGATCTTAAAAGGAATCCTAAGTGAAAAAAAGTAAGAAATAAAATGAAACCTGTAACCCTATATCATTTTTATAGATCAAAAATACATGCACACAAAATGAGTAATGCTTTATAAGAGCACTTGCAAACAAAAGAAAAAACATAAATACAATACAGTTGTTGCCTATGGTGGAGGGAAATTAAAGCAGGGGATGGAGGTAAAAGAGAATAAAAACATTTTGAAAGCTCAAATTAGGTAAAAATCATTCCCTCCACCCCTCATGATTGCATTAGGTGTTTTATTCAATAATGGTTTTACTCTAACAGAATAATAGTAAATTTTATTCATCTTTTCTTTAGTAGTATCTATAAGATTTATATGAAATGGTTGCTGCTTAGCCAGTCATGTTGGGAAGATCTTTAAATAACATATCTGATCCCATTACTGTTTTGAATTCTCGTGGCTGGGCTTGGGCAATAGCTACTCAGTAATGAACCTCCAATTATTCATTTTTTGTTCTTTTATTTATAGCACCAACACTGAAAATATTACTGAATAATTAGACTGACTTTTTTTAATTGACTAGTTATACTGACTTGATGATGCAAATTGACCAAACCAGTATTACAGACATAAGCAATATAGAATTTAAACCAACATCTCCTCTTTTGTGTTTTTGTCTCATTTCCTGTGTTCTAATCTAAACTGTTACTTCAAGATGAATGAAATATAGAATGTAGAAATTCTATTTAGTTTGGGCACAGAAACTCTATCCTTTTATAAAACCTAATTGTTTACATTTGTGAATGAGAAACATCCACAATAACTGGTGTAAATAAAATGCTAACCAAAAAATTTGAAAGGAATGAATCAGGAAAGGGGCTGAGGGGAATAAATTACTAGTTAAATGTGTCATAAAAAAAGTTGGAAAGTATTATTCAGAATATTTTATATATTTAAAAATGAAAAGCAATTTTCAGAGGGCTAATTTAAGAAATCATTTATCAATTAAGTGAATTCTGAATTGATTTCAACACCTTAGAGATCAGGGACATGCAGTCAGAGAATGACCTCATTCACATATTTAGTGACAGTTGTAATTTAGAAAATTGTCTTACATGGCTATGCATAGCTGAGACTTAAGAAGCCATACGTACCACTCTTGTTGTTGTTGTTGAACTCAGAGCCTTCCTCACACTGATAAGAAGTTGATGACAAATGAATGCAGTAGTGAGAGGCACAGCAGCGTTGCACCCGCACTGCTCCTGTCACGGACCTGATCAAGACTCCCTACGTGCCTGTCAGGGTACTTCTAGGAGGCTCCTGACGGCTTAAGGGCCTTCTTTTTTCTGACTCTTTATGGAAGCTTAGTATGGTCACTGATTCTCAGTAATTTACATTTGTTTCCCAGTAGCTAGCAAACATCCAAAATTGGCTAGTGATTCCCAGACTGTATAATAGGAGTTAATTCATAGCAGAAAGAAGGCATTCCTGTCTAGTGATTTTAGAACTAAGCTAGAAGACTTTAGATAGGAAAATAAATGTACATCAGAGTTTCTTTAAAAATTGTTTAATTTCAAACTGTTTAAAAATTAGAAATGAAATTGTAAAATGGCATTAAAACAGGTATTTCAAGTTATTTTTCTTTTAAACATTAGTGTTTTTGTAAGAAATCTTATATTAAAATTCATGTTGTGTACATAATGGAGCCAAGAGAAAGTCAAGTGTTTTAGAAAGAGAAAATTTTTATTTCGGTCTATGTTTTATTAGAGGTGGTAGCTTGCCATTTCTAGGAACTGAAGATCTAGTACATATAGATGAAATAGAGGAATGTAAAGAGCATAGTTCCCTTACATATGCAGATGGTTTTAAAATAAGAGAAAGAGATGGAGCTTTGCTATGTTTGTACAGTCTCTCATTTCTTTCTTGACTCATTTCAGGCCCTGGAAAGTGAATTTGTTTCTTGCCAACTGCATCAGTGGATCGACCTTATATTTGGCTACAAACAGCGAGGACCAGAAGCAGTCCGTGCTCTGAACGTTTTTCACTACTTGACCTATGAAGGTTCTGTGAACCTGGATAGTATCACTGATCATGTGCTCAGGGAGGTAGGTGTTAAGTCCCATCTTATTCCAAAACGTTGTCATCTCTAAAACACGAATTTGACCTTTCATCTCTTTCTGTGTAAATTTTCTTTCAACATAACTTTTCATAAAACTTAGATTTCAGATCCTTGACAAATGTGGGAAAATGTATACATGTCCAAAACAAGTAATGAGACCAGCATGTTTGTTCTTTTTTGAATTGCAGACATTTTTTATGCATTTTCATATCCCTGTTTTATTTGTTGTACTTTAGAATCTTCATTAAAAAGCCAAATGCATTATGTGTGCTATTAATCAGTGAAACATAGTTGAATATTTAAATATGAATAGTTCACAGTAAAATAATCTGCCAGTGTGAGTTTTCTAAAAAATTTCAATGTTCTTTTTTTTTTTAAAAAGATGACCGGTAAGGGGATCTTAACCCTTGACTTGGTGTTGTCAGCACCACGCTCACCCAGTGAGCTAACTGGCCATCCCTATATGGGATCCGAACCCGTGGCCTTGGTGTTATCAGCACCACACTCTCCCGAGTGAGCCACGGGCCGGCCCCCAAATTTCAATGTTCTAAACAGAATACTTAAAAAAAAATACTTCAATGAAATATGAGAGTACTTCAAAAAGGTCATTGAAAAATAGAATTAAAAGATGGTACAGTCTTTCCATGAACTTTTTGAATACTCTTCAGAGATGCACTTACAGAATTTTATTTGCATATGTTCTCAACCTGAAATGTTTATAGCTAGCAGTTGGGAATTATATACTATAGTATGTGTGTATAAGTATTTTTAGCGAAAATATTGATATAAAATATTACTTAAGTCACTTTCACATTGCACAAGATGGTTTCAGATGGGTGAAAAGAGTGAAGATGCAGCAGCTGCTGCATAAGCATTGCTGCAAGGAAGCTATACCCAGTCTTCCATTCACTAGATATCTGCCATCTGCTTTATGCAAACAGGTCATCATTTCTACATTTCCAGGCAGTGGAATGCTTTTTCTATTTTTTTATTTTTAATTTTAGAGGTAGAAAACATGTAGATTTGGGAAATGAAGGTCTTCTAAAAAAATTGCATCCATAAAGTTATTTCCTGTGTATCTCTATAAAATCAAAATGACTCCATTTGTATGGCTACAAGCAGAGAAGAGGAAGGTGAAGGGAAGAGCCTCATGATCATTGATCATTGGACCCTTAGGCTAAATACTCAGAAAACACACTGCAATCATGTTGTTAGGGGCAATACTGTACCATATTGTATGAACAAAGCAATAGAATTATTGCCTGAAGCCTAGAGAAAAAGATACAGACAGAGAATGAACGAATGAGAGAGAAGCTCAGTAGTGTGAAACCTGTAGGTAAAATAATGGATTTCCTTTACAAACTCTTACACTAGCCTAATTTAGAATCCCCAGTTGTGTATAAACTGTAGTCAGATTATATGGTAGGAGATAATTCTGAGCTTAATTATTCTCTTAACTATACACCTTTGTTTAACACATGTCTGTTCTATAACTTCCACATAAACTAAATTTTTCTTTTAGAACCAATACCTTTTAGGATTAGAAAAAAGAAAGTGATTGGAATAGTTCATCCTTATATTATGAGACCAACTCCAGATTGTTTTTTGACTTTTAAATATCATAGACATTTTTGCTCCTGGATATTTTATTATAATTTTTTATTCATTATAGTAAAATTCTGTCTTTAGAAAAAAGTTGCAAGTTGGGCCGGCCCGGTGGCGCACTGCTATAGTGCGCCTCTTGGGAAGCGCGGTGGCGCTCCCGCCGAGGGTTCA